ATCTATTTTAAGTATTATGACCGACTTGTATAACGGTTTTAATTTCAGGATTTAAGATTGCATTACCATCAAATGATCTAGATTGAACTCAGAGTACTCTGAGACTTATCAATATAAAACTCAGGAACAACTTTAAAATAAATGGCAGACTTGTTGACTTTATATTTTAATATTAAACAAAAGGGTGTTTTCACATGTAATTTCCACCTTTTCACCTAGTTTTATACATTCTAAGGTATGAGGTGAAAACTCTCAAAATTGTTGTCTACGTTTGGAATTTGTCAGAAGTTTGATAGAGCTACGAGGAACAACATTTGAAGATAGCAGCACAACATGCCTGTACACAATTTTGTCACAGTCTGGCAGTAGACCCAAAATGCAGACACGAAGGAACGAGGAAGAAAACTTGAATATAACATAAGGCAAGAAGTTTATAGGCTGATAAAAAGGTACAAAAACAAAAAGGCAGATACAAACTGGGGAGAAACTAACTTGAACTAAACTGGGAGAAACTAAATGCTAAATACAAAAGACAAAGAACAAAACCTTGAACGTGGTAACAACCTGAACATGATAAACTCTGGAGGCATAGAAACATGACGAGAACAACAGACGACCTGACAAACTCTGAACGAGAAAACACAAACTAAATACACACAGGAGGGTAATGAGGGAATGGGGAACAGGTGGGAACACAGCTGGGACAAATCAGACCTAACAAGGGGAAGCAAAACTAGACATACTGCACAGGACAGGGGCTTTCACAATAAAACAGGAAACATGACAACACAAACTTGATAACATAAGACACACAAAAATGAAACACATAAAGGGTGAGGTAAACTTCAATACAGGGGTAGAAAACACGAGGGGCATCTAATAAACAAGAGAACTTAGCTAACCTAATGAACTTAAACATAAACATCAACATCAAAATAAACTAGTAGCCAGTATGTAAATAGTAATGACTAACAATAGCTTTAAGCAAAGTGCCAATGCTTTAGGTTGCTTTCATAAAACAGTTTCTCACCAACTTTTTTCCACACCAAAAATGTTTCGAACAGACAACCACATGATTCTGGCTATTTCTTGCGAGCAGAATACACAATGGTTGTGCAGTTGGAGTGCTCTCTTCTTGACTTCTCCATTTGTATTGCTTGTAAAATCGACCTACCTTTCTCTGATAGGACCCAGCAATTAATAATTCATGTTTAAATTTAGATTTTACGTTTTGTGCAAGGAAATTCACAGTGTGGTTAAATAATCATTTCAGAAACACAT